CTCTTAATTAGAAAAGATGATAGTTCATCAAACAACATGGTTGTTTAATTTAAACAAACCTGTAAAAATAAAAAGTGCTTTTCATTTAATTAGAAATAACTTGCTAAAAGAGAATTTCTTCAAATTTAGGATTGGGGAAGTGTTTTGTTTCTATCTGTTCAGGAGAATAAAGGCATCTAGTTAAGAAATCTGGAGACCACTGGACAAATGAGACAACAGAAAATAAAGGACAAATCACCCAGAAAAAAATGTCCCAAGAAAAAGAGTAAATTGGCCTATTGGTATATCACATTTCCAATAAGAAAATAATTCAAAAATCTTCCCAAATGTTTGTTTCTGCTTTTATCTACAGACATATAGAACAAAGGTTTTTTTTTTTTTTTTTGTCCCAGTCCAATTCACGATTAAAGCTGGATTTGGAGTTGGAGTGTGGCTCTCCTTCTGTAAACCTAAGCATGCTTGTTAAAATGAAATCCAAAATCTCTTTCTCATGTCAGAAGAGCCACCTGATATGGATATGGGAAAGAAGAAAAACAAATATATAAGGCCAAGTGGCGGTGGTACATGCCTTTAATCCCAGCACTCAGGAGGCAGAGGCAGGTGGATCTCTGTTAGTTCAGGGCCAGCCTGGTCTGCAAGAGCTAGTTCTAGGACAGGCTCCAAAGCTGCACAGAGAAACCCTGTCTCAAAAAAACACAAAACATAAATAAATAAATACACCTCCCCAACCCTAATATTTAAGGACTACTTTATTGCCGCTAATCTCATAATCTTTTGGTTTTACATTGACTCTTTAACAACTTTTCTTATAAAATTTATAAAATTAATATATATATATATTCTAAACTTTTTATCATGGTCTTAATGGTCATATAGAGTACTAACTAATTCTACAAAAAAGTGTCATCTATCTTTCTGTACATGATGTTAGGTTTGAGCCTCTATCAGTATTCCGCAGTGAATCATGTGCATGCCTAACAGCGACCTTTGAAGTCTCCAAAAGACTTGTGGGGCCCCACAATGATGATTCCTTCAGGACTATGATACTACCACTATGCTGAAAAACACCACATAAAGATCAAATTTGGACTACAAACTTCTCAGAACAATTTCAAGGTGGCCAACCAAGATGATCCAACCTAACAGATTACTCTATCCAGGATAAGACAAATCCATTATGCAGAGACAGGACAACAAATGATATAGCTACCTCTCCCAGGACTTGACAATGAACCCAAATATTTCTTTTCATGATCCCCTAAAGATACTGTTGCCCCAGACAGCAGAAAATAATTTTAAGAATACAACGTTCACATTCCCAAGAGGTGGGGTGGGTAGTTTTCGGCCTTTCATTGGGTTATGGATATTTGTCATTGCTTAGGGTCATTGGTTACAAGGTATTATTGGTAATGGTCAGGAAAAAAGCTAAACAAAGGAAATTAGATTCAAGGTTCTTATTTTGAAAAGAAAAAAAGAGGGATATAAATATGATAAGATAAAAGATAGACTATTGAGTCTACTTTTAAAAAGCAACTACTAGATTTAAATATTGGATTGCACTTTTGTATATTGTATACAAATTTTGCATATTGATACAAATTTAAGATTAATTTTGTTAAAATCTACTGTGCATATGTTTCTTATTTTATCCGAGGTATTGCAACTATACAACTCATTTAACAATGTAATGCAAATTTCTAGTTCTTGAAAGTTATTATTACAACTGTTTGGGATAATAAGAAAATGCAGGTTAGTAATTAGTCACCTACTACAATTAAACTTGTAGTCATATTGTATGTTTTCAAGGTCAAACAGATATATTTTAAATAGGTCATCTCCAAATACTTCAGAGAGTTAAGAATATGGCATTTAAGATGTTTTATTAACATAGTTTTTTTTTTAATGACAATGAGACATATCTGCTCCTGGCAATACCAATCTACTTCACAGAATGGGCATTGAAGAAATTGCACATGGAGTTTACTCTCTTTGTGGCAAAAAAGTAAGCCACTGGGCAAGAAAGTGCTCTCACCTCGATTGCTGATAGTATGCTATACAAATTGGACAAGAAGGACATAAAAGAGAGGACTGTCGAACTTTGCCAAGGCAACGTAGGACTGCCCTTCAGAATATCCTGCTTCATAGAAAATTCTGTCAGATATGCTAGGCCTAGAGGTCAAAGATAGATGCACCAATGTTGCAGAGGATCCTTGGTTGACTGTCCAGGCAGCCAGCTATTCCTGTCATTTCTCACATTTTTGGAAGTCTTTTGTTTGCACTTCCTGCTTACTCAGTTATTATTTCCTTCTCTGTTCTCCGAGGTAGTTGAAGACTAGATAGTTATTGCTATAATTTTCCTTATTTAGCAGACTCAGAGAAGAAACTCACTAAAGAGGTATAAAGTGTAAAAGGTTGAGAGATACCAAAAGATAATTTGATAATGCAAATTAGAATAGAAAGTAAATTAGGTCTAACCTTTTGGACTCATCAAGATAGGATAGATATGGAGTATTTTCTCTGAATTTGTCAAATGCAAACGGGCTAGACATTGTTGATGTATTTATTGCCTACATATAGTATATAGTTATTGTACTTACTGTATATAGTTTTTCTTATATTATTTATAGCCTTTTTAGACAAAAATGGGAAATATAATGGTATAAATTATTTGTGTTTTAAAAAAAGGAGCTTGCCTGAAAATCAAAATGCAAAGCTGCCACACTAGCCAGCCATACAGACCAGGCAGCCGTGGCACACACCTTTAATCCCAGCAGCCACACTAGTTAGCCATAGAGGGCAGGCAGTGGTGATACACATCTTTAATCCCAGCACTGGAGAGGAATATAAGACAGGAAGAGACAGGTCTCAGCTCAGTCTCATTCTAATAATTTGTAGAGGCAGGATCACTGATTTTGGTCTGAGGTAGAAGTTAAAGAGCTAGTGGCTTGGTTGCTTTGCTTTTCTGATCTTTAGCTTGAACCCCAATATCTGTCTCTGGGTTTTTATTATCTGTGCTACACTAAATGTAACAACTCAATTTACCCATTTCTGCCTTTAGTCTCCTGATATAAGAAACTGTTGATATAAGTTATTGATATAAGAGATACAGTAGCTATGAACCCTGAAGATTTAAAGCATAACTGACTGACTCTTTTTCATATATAAAAGTTTAAGTTTGTGATTCCTCATAATATTACCTTTCAAGATAAGTAATAAAGTAGTTGGCCCTTTCTTTGTAACTGCAAAACATAGCCTGACAGTAAAAGACCTGATTGAGAAGCATATTTTGTTTGCCTACACAGTTAATCTACAACAAATTGCTTGGGTATGAATGTACATGGATTCTTGGGATAATTTGCTTTTTACCTGTAATGTATAAAATGTTTCATCATGTAAGGGAGATGAAAAACATGTTTTTACCTGTATTCATTATAATCATTCTCTTGAAAAATAGAATGTAACAATACTGTAGTTACTATATTGCCTGCAAAACTTTGTTGGGGTATATAAGCTGTAGAAAAAAAGTATACAGTAGAAAAATAATACATAGGAAAAGAAAATAAAGGAGGAAACCATCAAGAGAGGGTGTTAGTGTTTCCCCCAAACCCCTCAGATAGAAAAGTCATAGTACGTGCTGACTCTTTGGATTCCCTTTGAGACCTGTGCTACTGGGGTCAGGTCTCCCAGGCACTGTTAAAATATTCAATCAATGAAGCTAATTTTCGGAAGAAACACTAAGTAAATATTCTGTAACTTTCCAGATTCACCTGGACCTTTCCATTTCAGAAGTGGTGTCATTACAAGGTATCAGCCACCACTGATAACACCTATGGTGTGTAAAATTCACCAAGGAACACCTCTTATTCTAAGACATACTAAAATGTCCTACTACAATGAAGGTTTATGGCTCAAGTCATACACCCTACAGGAGACAGTCTCCCTTACACAAAACAATTCATACCTTTTAGAGCTGAATAGCATCTCTTCAGGAGTGTTGCGAGTTGTAAAAATGCAAAGTTCAAAATAGGACAATAACATAAAAACATAGTCAATAATTTTGGCATCGGACAGCAAGTTTACTCTGCAGTTCAACAAAGACTGGCTTTGCATATCCACGCTGAAAGCAAACTTCGTTTTCCAAAAGGAAAGTCACCTGATGCCATCCCACAGGGGAATATCCCAACTTGATGAGAAGTTACTTAGCCTTCTAATATTGCGAGAAACAAGTGCAGTGTTTAATTTAAGCACATCCATTTTGGCTCACTGTTCGTTCACAAGTTCAAACCCATGACTGGTTTGTTCCTGATTGGGCCTGTGGTGAGATAAAAACGTAGCATATAACGTTCAACTTATAGTCAGTTCAACAGAGAAGAAAACTATAAGAAACTTTTCTAAAAGACAATAAGCAAAAAACAACTTTGAAGTCTTTCAAATCCAAAAGAATTTTAAAACTTGACATTCGACTTTTTCTCAAGCTCTGAGTGCTTTCTACAGTCTGCATTGAAACGGACACACTCTATTGTTCCAAGCTGTGCCTAAATGTAGGATTCCGGGTGCAGGAAACAGGTGTGTCAGACACAGTACAAATTCTGGGGATTCCACGTTTTCTGGCACTCTTCAGTAAGATGCAGTTCTGCAGAGGCCTTCTTACTTTCTGTCCCTTCATACCATCCCTCCTAGCAGGTCACGTTGGGAGGAGAAAGCACAACACTGTAATAAAAGACTAGCAGACCATCCTGCATCCCAGCATCCCCGACTGTACACTGAACTTCTTGCAGAGTTTGAAAGTCCTTCAGCAACTGCCCACCGCACATGATATCTACCTGATACGCTGCAGCAAGGTCCATTTTTCGTTTGAGAAATTTTTCTATATGTCCAATGGTTGCATTTCCTGAGACTTGCACAAATTTTATCTTCAGTAATTTACAATGTCCAATGTCTGCATTAAAGCCCATAGAGTCCAGGACTGAAGACGTATCAGGTTCATGTGAACTAAGGCACTATTCTACAAGGTCCTTAGTGCTCCCTTCGCTTGAAGGGCCTGGCTGCAGAACAGCAGCAGGTTTGGGTGTTTCTGGACAATTTCCTTTGGCGAATTCACGTCTTTGCTTTTGCTCCTTTTCCTCTAGACCTGCCACTAATTTGTACACTATGTTTTGTAATTGTGGATCCAACCTCAGGCTATTATGAGGTTTGGCCTCATGCACTACAGTGTTACATTTTGGACATGTGTTGCTATGTTCAAAATGTTTTATGATGCAGCTTTTACAGAAGCTATGAAGACATTCTGTGATGGTTGCTGCATCTATTAAGTAGCCTTTGCAAATGTAACAGGAGATGTAGGGAGTCAGCTGTGAGAGAGGAATGAGGTTCTCCTCCTGGTCAGACTCCACCTCTGCCTTCTCCTTTACCTCTTTGGGAGACTCGGCCTCCAGGCATTTCTGAGTCTCCACATCCCCACTAGTGGACTGGCCCTCCTTGCCAGCTGGAGGTGCCATGGTGCTTGCAGAAGGCGAGCCCTGGTTTGCAGGACACAAAGCTCCCTCTGTTTCGGCAGCAGCTAGGCTGCCCTCTTGGACCTCTGGGCTGCTGCCCTCTTGGACCTCTGGGCTGCTGCCCTCTTGGACCTCTGGGCTGCTGCCCTCTTGGACCTCTGGGCTGCTGCCCTCTTGGACCTCTGGGCTGCTGCCCTCTTGGACCTCTGGGCTGCTCTCCTTGACTGGCGTGGCAGGGGACAAACTGGGCAAGGGCATGGCCAGATTCTGATGTAAGGCAGAGATGTGAGGCAGAGGCGAGAGATAGCTTGAGATGTGGAGGCAACGATACCTTGGAGTGAGACCGAAAGGGAAGACCTGGCAAGGTAAGACAAGGCGAGACCAGACCTTAAGCCGAGACCACCTGCGAAATCCTGGGCTGAAGCAAGGCAAGACCAGGAAGCAAGTCAAAATGCAGAGACGAGATGAGGCGAGGCGAAACCCGGATTCAGGCGAGATGAGACCCCGAGGTAGACCAGATGAGACCCAGAGCTGATCCAGATGAAACCCCCGGAATCAGCCAAAATGAGGTCAGATGAGATCTCGGAATCAGGCGAGGTGAGACCTGGAGTCAGGCGAGATGAAATCCTGGAATCGGGCCAGATGAGACCCGGAGTCAGGTCCGAGGAGACCCCGGAATCAGGCGAGATGAGACGCAGAGTCAGAGGAGGATAGACTGGGCGTTGCAGCAGCGAAACTGGATTCCGGAGCTCAGGAAGTGAAGCTATATCAGGAAGCAACGGGAGACTGGGAGGCGCTTAGAGCCTCGGGGTAGCACGAGGGGGCGAGGCCAGGAAGTTAGGCCTGACTAGAAGATGAGACTGGATCTTGAGATAAGATCTCCAGGGAAGGTGAGGTGAGGAATCCGGGTGCTACCATAAGAGGAAGGCAGAGTCATCAGGCAAGGTGAGACCCTGGGGTGAAGTGAGACCAAGAGGTGAACAATTTGAAGCAAGATGAGGGTTGGTAAGACCACAAGGCAAAGGGATGATGAGCGCAAAGAGAAAGCCAGGCAAATACACAATAGTACGGCAAAGTGGCCTTAAGCAAAGAGTTCTGCCAGACCAAGAGGCGGTGCCAGACGTACGAGCAGAGAGTGGGAGGAGAAGAGAGGAATGAGGCCGCTAGCTTACGTAATGTGTGTGGGGGGGATCTGCAGGGGTGGCTGAGAACCCGTTCATCTAAAACAAATGGAAATTTCAGTGGTAAATCAGTGGGTGGTGGCACACATCTTTATTCCCAGCAATTGGGTGGCAGAGGCAGGCAGATCTCTGAGTTAGAAGTCAGCCTGGGAGCCTGCAGCTCGTTTTAAAGGGACCGCACCCAATTTTCCTTATCAAAGGTTTCATACTCAGCAGTAGTTTGTTTTTCTTCGAGCCACGGTTTCTCTGTGTAACAGTTCTAGCTGTCCTGGAACTAGCTCTTGTAGACCAGACTGGCCCAACTCACAGAGATCTGCTTGTCTCTGCCTCCTGGGGATTAATCTCTTTAATCTCTGGGATTAAAGGTGTGTGCCACCACCACCCGGCTTCAGCAGTAGTTTTTAAAAACTACCAAAATCCTGTTGCAGTCCAGCAACATATATTTTCTGGTATAACAGCCACATTAATTAATTAATTGATTAATTAACTTAATGTGTATCATGTGTACGCAGACATGTACCACTGTAGAGGTCAGAGGAAAACTTGAGAATTGGTTGTCACCTTCCACCTTGTGAGTCCCAGAGAACTCATAACTTCTAGGCAATCTTGCCTGTCCCCTAGTAACATTGTTTGCCTAGAGCATTGAGCTAGATCCCGTGTGATGTTGCATTAGGAATAATAAAGATTTTTGAGCGCTAAATGTGGCTTCCTCTAGCAAATTAAATACATTCAAAATTATTTCTTCTAGAAAATATGAAGTTTCTCTTTTGAAACATACACTGTGGAGAACAGTTCATGGAGGCAGGTTGGAAATCCATTTTTTTGAGCTCTCCCTTCCCCCTTCCTCTCTTTTCTACCCCTTTTACTCTCTCCTTTCTGTATCCTCTTTCCCTCTTCCTTCCTGTACCCTTCTTTCCCCCTTTACCTCCTTTCCCCTGTTGTTGACTGTTGTACAATTGTTATGTATAATTTGTTTTATATAGAATATGTAACAATATATATAACAAATGCATATGCACTTATATATGTCGTGGTAGTAGAAATTGAATGTAGGATCTTGTCTATGCTCAGGGAGTCGTCAACCACTGAACTATATACTCATTTTTACTTTTCATTTGGAGCCATCTAACAGGACACTTTAAATTTCTGAGTGAGCTGCAGGATATATTGAGTGGGTGAAATGGGGTGGGATGTAGGCAAGATAAGAGAAAATGTTCTCTCCTTCCTTTCTAGTAAGCATTCTGCCTCTGAGTTCCAAGTTGTGAATATAATAGGAGCCCTTACGATTAGAATTTTCTGGAAAAGTGTATGCTTGGAATGTGACTAGGCATCGACTCTCAGGAGCCGTGGCCCTTGTGAAATAGCTCATCTTGCAGGAGACTTGTTACCACTTTTAATAGCTTCGGTTTCCTGATGAGTCTACACCATGCACACTTCCTGTCTTTGATTTTTTTCTGTAAATTATAATACCTTTATGGGTAAAATGGAAAGAGCCCAAGGAGTTCTGTATTCTGAGTTCTAGGAGAACGATAAACAAATGTATTTCCTTCTACTGATTTCTCTATTTATTTTTTTAGCGTTGTGAACAATGAACCTTAGTTTGCTGCAATGTGATCTCCTGTTCCCCACTGGATGTGAGAAAGAACCAAAATGTAGCCAAGGTAATGGAGGACTCGGTTATAGCCACAACACCTCTGGAAAGGGGCTTGCTTAGCCTTGGAGAAACCTCACGCTGACGTTTGGCTGACCACACACAAGAGGCTCTGAAGTGTGTTTTCCTCCCACTCAACAGGATAGATCCACTGGATAGGAAAGCAACGGTAATAGTTGTCCCACCACTCATAAGTGCTGCTGCTCTGTTCACTGAGCAGGCTCGTTCATCAGACTTGTTCTAAGACACTTGTAGGTAAATTGCACCTCACTATTTGGAAGAAGGTTTTTTTTTTTTTAAACTTAGTCTTCTAGTCAGTGTAAAGGGAGTGCACTCACGAGGGAACTCTGAATCTAAGTTATTTAACTCAGATTACATCAGCACTTGTGGAAAAGTCAGCTCCATGGGGTGAATTTAGAGTGAGAATCCACAGCAGTATGCCGCAAAAGGAAAGCAACGAAGGCATTAACTGCAGCAATGCAAGTATATAGCAGCAGTGTAAGTGATGGGCCTTGGTATCATTGATTGGGCCTTAGGATGAGAGGGAGAGCATTATAAAGGAATGTGTGTGTGTGTGTGTGTGTGTGTGTGTGTGTGTGTGTGTGTGTGTGTAAAGCTGGGCATAACAGGGCCTTCAAGGGAAAGAGGTTTCCATTTGGAGAGGAATCTTATTGCAAAAAATCACTGAAAGTGTTTCTCTGGTGCCTGCTGGTGCCTTTGCAGTGTTTGTAAGCAAAGAAATTTAGTTACATGTTGTCCTAGAGAGAAGCCAAACCACCCTTCTTCCTATTTGGGATGTTCTACACTACTGTTCTTTAGTCATAGTGGTTAGAAACAATCAGGAGATAATTGTCATTCAAAAGACATTTTGTTAGATTCATAAATGTCAATACAAAAGACTGAGCCATTTTGTGTGAGATCAAAGGAAGGGCTCTGGTTGGTCAGAAGGAAAGAAAGAGCAAAAATGTGGGCAAGAACTTTTTATTGGGGTCTCCCAAAGAAGCACATGTTTATCTTTTGACTTTTTGATGGTAGCATTCTTACTAGAATGAGAAGGACTTGGTGTTCATTTTCTTGTGATTAGTAATGTTGAGATTTTTCCATATATCCGTTAGCCATTTGCATTTCAGAGGACCCAGAATCAATTCCCAGAACACACACCAGGCAGTTCACAATGGCCTGTAACTACGTATCCAGGGTATTTGATAAAAGCCTTGTGGGCAACTGCATAAACATGGTGCACATATATGTACTCAAGCATACACATAAAATAAATCTTTAAGAACACAGTCGGAACTAATAAAGTGAAAATAGCCGATGAGCAAAGTGGCATCCTAGCAAACAGAAACCCTTCTACATGTGTCATTATGCTCCTTCACATATGTGTGTTCACATGTATATGTTTCCCCCATGTGTATAATCATTTGTATTTCATGAGATATTATATTTTATATTTGAAGTAGTTAAGATAATCTATTATTGTACAATTTTAGCTTTTCTTTTGGAGGCTTTGATTTCGTATCTGAACCCACATGCAGAGTGGATAGCTCTAATTTTTCTGAAATATTGTTCTGTTATATATAAGTTATTATCATGTAAATGATCTAAATCCGCATTTACAGATACTAGCTTGATTGTGTTGTTTGGGCATTGTACAGTATTTTAGTTGGGGGAGGTAAATGGGTGGTTACATTACAGAAGCACTCAGAGAAATACAACATTTTTATGTATTTTTAAACAAAATTGTTTTTCACATACCAGATATTAAACATGGATAGAAACATGTTAGACTTGGGAGAATTCAGAATTTGCTAGGTTTTATAAGCACAACCAAATCTTATTTCTCACTTTACAACCAGAGAAGGAGATGGGCCTCCACTAACAGTTGTTCCGTAACGTTGCTCACCTGCTTCTCATTGGTATAAGAATGGTAGTCATGATTTTTCTACTCGTGACTGACCTGACTATAGGACATCATAAATACTCAATTAATAATGAAATCAGTTCTTAGATAGGAAGCATCATAAGTATTGTTATTGTTAAGGATCTTGTGTGATTTTGTTAAGAAGTGTTATCCCAGCTCTTCAGGTACCTTTAATGAGTAAATGGAGATAAATTTACCTTAAGTTTGAAGTGTACTTTCTTTTTGAAAACCTCCATTCACACTAAGTTGCTCAGGGTAGCCTTAAATTTGTGATTCTTCTAATTCAGAGTTCAGAGTAGCTGTGATTACAGGCTTGTGCTGCCAGGCTCTGCTAATGAGTGTTTTGAATGCTGCTTTGAAAATCAGTGGGCTGTAGATGAGGAAGATTATTTCTGGGCCCTTCTATTCCGTGGGTTAACATTTCATGCCAAGACCATGCTGTTTACTACAGTTTTAGTGATATATTTTGAAGTTAGATAGTGTAATTTTGTTCTTTTTGTTC